AATAAATTTGTTAGTCTCTAAGGTGCCACAAGTACTCCTGTTCTTCTTTTTGCGGATACAGACTAACACGGCACTACTCTGAAACCTGTCATTAGTTAACTAATTTTCCTTTACATTAGACAATGAGTAGAGGAAAGCCTTATTTAAAGAAATCAAACTATGATGAGCCTTACGAGTAGAGCTGTGCAAATAACTGATTTTTCAAGTTCAATGGTGGTTCTGAAAAACCAGAAAGAAAAAAAAATCAGTTCAGGTCCAACCAAATCGAAACCAAATTGAAAAAAATCAGAAAAATCTAAATCAGTTTCAGGTCTGTTCCAGGTCTGTTCAAACCAAAGTCTTCTATATTCTAGCAGGGAGGACAGTGGGGGTGGCAGCAGTACCTCCTCCTCCTCTGGCCATTTTGTGTCAACTTCACAGATTGTGTTGAGTCAACCAAGGCTGCATTTTTTTATTAAATAAACTATTAATTAGAAATTTTTTACACTACTTATGAGAGAATGGTGAGGAATTCCAAATCAGGTTGAACTCAACATGCACAACTAATATAGACCAGCTGTGCCTAATATTTGTATTTCTCATAGAGAATGGAGTGCTGTTGACTCTGGCATTTCACTTTTGGAGTCTGTTTAATATTCAGTGTGTACATTCTTAAAGCCAGTGCATCACTGCATGTTTTCACTATGGCCTTCTAAAAGTCTTACTGGTATTCCACCTTCTAGGGGCAGGTGCTATGTGGGTTACTCATAAAAGAGAACAATAGCAGACATATTTCCCTTGTGCGTCAGAGTTCAGGGGGGTAGAATTGCTCCTAGTGCTCGCCTGGTTCCAGCTGCTTCTTACACTGAGCCATGCCTAACAGACATGATCTATCCTTAAGGATCAGGCATTGACACTTTTTCAACTTTTTGCTTTCAAACCCGACCAGAAATACTGTTTGGTTAAAGAATATTTGTATTGGTCCTTTTAGCTTTGAATATATAGTGAGGTTTTGTTGGCCTGGTTATTCAAAATAGGCAGCAAACATCTTATTCTTTCTCTTTGACATTCATCAGCTGTGATAAATTCTTCTCTTACCTTTTAGTCTTTATGCATGCCTAAAGAAGTTAATTAAAATTTTGTAACATTATCATTATTATTATAATGTGCAAGGGCTGCAGGCTTGGACATTTTATCTTTTAAATCACATTGTAAACATATTTGCTTGTGATGGTAGACTTGGTGTCTCAGACCAGTAAAATCATTTAGCTGTGTGTCATTGCTTCAAATCCAGATCAGGATGTAGTACCTGCTGCATGTGGAGCAAATAACAGATAGTACTGCTATTGGCAGTAGAGGCCAAGATTTTTAATTATGTGGGGACTGAACAAAAATTACCTCCTGGTCAAGGGTGACACTCACTCACAAAGCAATGTATGGGGGAAGACAATGCTTATTGACAATGCTAATTGGGGGTGATAGCTCAGTGGTTTGAGCATTGGCCTACTAAACCCAGGGTTCTGAGCTCAATCCTTGAGGGGGCCATTTAGGGAACTGGGGTAAAAATCTATCTGGGGTTTGGTCCTGCTTTGAGCAGGGGGTTGGACTAGATGACCTCCTGAGGTCCCTTCCAACCCTGATATTCTAATGGGTCTTGGCTAAGTCAAGATTTAACACCACATGCTCTTCATTTTAATTGAGAACTGTAGTCTCTGTACTGTGTGACCTCCTTTGAAAGCACTCTGTTCATTCTTTCTAAGGAAACCCATTTATGTATTTGGTCAATTGTTTCCTCTTTTTAAAGTGGGTTTATAACTTATAAGGAGGATGATGAGTGTATATTCAAAGTGCATATGTTTTCTTTCCTCTATAAATGAGATAATCAGCTTGAAATGTTTCTTGTTTAGGTCACAGAAATGATTTTGGAATTGTTTCTTGAAGTCTGGTAAGTATCTCACTTAACCAAACAAATCTGTAGAGAATGACTGTATGAGCAGCCTATTTATGTGTTTTCTATTCCTTGTAATTTTTTTTTAAAAAATATAAAATTAAATTCAAAATTAACTAGTATTAAGGTTGAAATATCAAGCACTGAAAACTCAGGACAAACCAAAAGTGAAGGTTACGCCCATAAAGTAAATCTGCTGTTGACTTAAATGGGATCATTCATGCAAGTAAAATTATGCACTTGTTTAAGTGTTTGCAGGAGCAAGGCTATAGTTTGTAAGATCCTTGTTCCTGGGCCTCCACTAAGTGCTCTCCTTTCCAATGTTCCTCTCCTATGCAAAACTTTAGAAGCTCAGTAGGCAGCCAGCCTCTGCAATTATCCTTATTGCAGTCATCTTGCACTCTGATCTCAACTTTTAGCTATCTAGCTGCGGATGCATGCTCATCAGATCAATCTTTAAGATTTTTATCCTGCAAAGATTTATGCTTATACTTAACTTTGCACATGGAGGATATTCCCATTGAAGTAACTGAAACTGACTTTAATGGAACTATGCACAATCAATAAAACTATGGCCCCGCTGAAGTGAATGGCAAGGCTGTCATTGACTTCAATGGTGCCAGGATTTAGCCCCATGTGCAAATGTAAGCGGGGGAATGGTCCCGCTATTGTGGGGAA